TTTCGTACTTTTTTGTTGATGTGGCTCCATTTGGAAGTGAGTTGGTCACGGGTTCGGTAGGAGCCGTCCTTCTTCATCGCCGTGAAGAACTTCTCCTCGATACGATCCCACATCGCATCCTTCGTTTGCTCCGTACCTTTAAAAAAGTATATAATTATTTTTTTTTGACACCATTAAATATAATATATATAAATAAAAATATAAATATATTAGAAAAAACAAATTTTTTACCAATGATAGGATGCTCGGAGATGTCAACCCAAGCTGACGCCAATATGCACTCCTCCTCCGGCGTCCACTTTTGGATTGCCCGTGCCGCATCGGTGACCGTGGTTTTGGCTTTGTGGCTCCTCCGGCGTGTACTTTTTTTCGAACCGGACGGTTCCGGTTGAGTCTCCGGAACCGAATCTCGGTCGACGTACCCGGATTGTTGCGTCTCGAATATCGGCGGTCGATCGCCCCACTCTTGGTAGAACCACATCGCGGCGTCACTCGGGGGGAGATTGTCGGGATTGAAGCCGGAGCCGGAAGGATTCATGTTGAAAATTGGGAGGAGGGATTTGAATTTTGAAATTTAAAAATAAGAAAGAAGAAGAGATTGGAGTGAATGTGTGAGAGATAGGTTGGGGAGGATTGAATTTATAGGAAAAAAATATTTTTTTTAAATATGGGTGCAACGGCTATTTTAGCCGTTAGGAGGGGGGAGCGCCGATTCACGCCGCGTCAAACAAATGACGCAGGCGCCCTCACGCCCGTTTCACGCCGGCGGGGGGCGGTGTTTCACGCCCCTGGGGCGTTAAACGCCCTGTAACGCCGGTGGGCGTGATGGGTATTACCACTGCTCTAAGATGAATTATCAAGTGGATGAAGTATACTCAATAAAAGTCACGTTTGATGATTGTGCTTTCAATTAGTTTTCATATTTTGAAAAATATTTTAATGATACAAATAAATTTTTAAAATGTCAAAATTAGCGATATTTTTAAATAACTTTTTTAAAATGTTAAAGTTAAACGCTAAATTTGTTACCAAATAGACACACACCATACTACATATTAGTATATTACAAACACCTTCTTTTGACTTTTTTATATATACAAACTTGCCTATGTATTTGTTAATAAAAAAATCAATGTTCTATTTTTTATTCAACTAATTTTTTCTACATATAATATATTTTATCAGATTCAGATAAATCAATTATGTCAAATCAGTAACAACTTTAAATTACTTTATATACTACAATCAGATTAGATTCATTCAGATTATATTAGATACTCCCTCCGTCCCACTCTTTTTGTCCACTTTCATTTTTGCACACCATCCAATGCACTTCTTTAATCCATTTTATCTTGTAATTTATATATTAAAAAATTATAGAAATTATATATTAATAATCTATATGTTAAGACAAATCAAATAAGATCACAGATGACTATTTTTAGACTTATACATTGAGAGAATTTGATGAGTCAAAGTGCTTAGATGAACAGTTCCAAAAGTCAAAACTGGACAAAAAGAGTGGGACGGAGATAGTATATAATATCATATTTAATACAATCAGACAAAGAAAATACGATTTAAATATGGAAAGCTCTCTATTTTAAAAGATCACAACTTTTTCTTTTTTAAAACAACAATTATCTATTTTGAACTTTTGATAAGTATGATAATTGATGAGAAACCATAAACATACAAAGGTTTGAGTGCCTAAAATGTAAATTGACACTAATTTTCTTTCGTTGCTTCTACTGCTTGTCATTAAGGACGTTTATAGATACTCTTTGATCTGGAATTGAGAGTTCAATTGTCGGAAAGAGATCCATGGAGTGGGCAACGCTTCAGCATTTAGATCTCCGGCACGTCGACCGGAGCTCTAAAACCTTGCAGCCTCACGCTGCCGCTTTCCACCCCATTCAGGCACTCGTATCTGTAGCCGTCGGCACGTACGTCATCGGTAAATTCTGAACTTCTGCAGTTCTTCATTTGCGTCCCCGGCACTCATTATCACAGTACCCTGCTTTGATTTCATTCTATTTGTTAAAAGTATTTGTGTGATTAAGCTTTCTGTAACTTCAGAATTTGATGCATTTACTGGATGTAAGATCGCTGCCATAGACATCGGATCGCCAGTTGTGCGCATGGCTTATAGCCCGACAAGTGGGAATGCCATTATTGCTATACTCGAGGTTAGCTTCTAAAGCAGCTGGATTCACTTCAGATTTTCAGAAGGCGCGTTTTTTGGCTGATTAAGATTTCGGACATTCATTTTACTAATGTTTGCTATCTTTTGGTGTGGCTGATGGTTGCCCCCTATAATTTTCAGGATTGTACAATTCGATCATGTGATTTTGATGTTGAGCAAACCTGTGTGCTCCATTCTCCTGAGAAAAGGACCGAACAGATTTCTTCAGACACAGAAGTTCATCTTGCCTTGACTCCCCTTCAACCTGTAGTATTTTTCGGTTTTCATCGCAGGATGAGTGTGACAGGTATATAAATTTATCAAATATGGTTGGATTGGTTGATCTAGTCACAGGCATTTTAACTGCTTTAATCTAGTTATTCTGGTAGAGAATAAGAGAATTAGAGATGTGCTATTTTATTGGTAGCTTGTTTCATAGCCATTAAGGAAAACAGATTTCTTTTAGTTACATTATTATCAGCCAGTGAGAAGGGTGGATCAAATGAAAAAATAGACATGTGGCTAGAGGAAGGGCTAGAGTTAAGAAAATTTGGCACGAAGTG